GGGCCGGGGAGACGGGCCGGCGGGATCGAGGGCCGCCGCTTCCTTGGCTCCGCCGTCGGGCTTTCGCCGGCAGCGGCTCGGGCGCTCCTTTGCGAAGGAGCATCGCGCCCGAGGCTGGTCGGCGGCGCCTCGGCCTCCAAAGCCGGGTCGGCGAGGCGGGCTGTGGCCGAAGGAGCCCCGGCGCTCTCCGCGTGGCCGAGCCCCGTTTTCAGCCCGGCCCAGACAGCGGACGCCGGTCGGAGAGGAGTCCCGACTCGCTCCGGGCGGCCTCGGGCGGCGGCGAGCGCGCTTCTTGGGCCCCCCGGCGGCGGGAGTGCCGAGCGGCTCGGAGAGCGAGGGCGGCAGCGACCCCGGGCGGGCTGGGCCGCCGCAGCTGAGCTCCTGCGACCCTCGCCGCGGAGCTGGGTGAAGCCCCGGGCGGGGAGCGAAGCCTCCGGTGTGGGACTCATCAGTGGAGGGAAGCCCTGCAGACCCAAAGGGCGCCTGTGGCCGTGGTTACAACAAGCCTGCCCGGTAGGCCGCCTCGGCTGCCCCACCTTGGAATTGAAACGAGGCTCTTTTCTGCCTTTTTAGACCCCCCCCCCGGCAGGCCCGTCTCCGCCTGGGTGGGCTTCCTGTATCGGCCCTGAAGTTGGGAACCCCGCAGAATCTTTTTATCGATTACATTGTTGTACGGATTGAATTGATAGAATATTATAAAGGGAGAAGGCTTGGAAAACTCTATCATACTCAAAGTAACTCCCAAATAATTGAGCAAATTATCTCCTTTCATGCCCCTTGGCGGAAGAAATGACCAATTGTCTTTCATCTCTGCCAATCAGTGTGTCATGTGTCTGAGTAACGAAACACTTAAAAGTACTTTCAGGCATGTTTTCTCCTAAAAGCATTTATTAATGTTAAAGTACATCAGCACGGCATTTGCAGCGTTGACACAGTGCTTCTCAGTAATTTTTTTCTAAAAAAAAAAAAAAAGGTGCCGGAACTCACACATGTCATACAACCCGCCTTGCCTACCCTACAAGGTGCCGGAACTCCGATCTGGGCATTCTATGAGAAAAAAAAGCCCTGGTGCTTCTCAACCCTGGCAACTTTTAAGATTTGTGGACTTCAACTCCCAGAATTCCCCAGCCAGCCATGTTGGCAGAGAATGTTTGCTGACATCCTAGTGGTGCAAATCAGGTGCAGTCACATCCTCCCGGGGCCAACCATTTGAGCAGAGCTGGTGAGCTCTGGAAGATGGCCTTTCCTGTGGGAAGCAGGAATGTGCTTCTTTGCCCCAGCGGCCCTTGGCCTTTGTAGGCCACAGGAAGCTGACTCTGAAGGGACTCCTTTGGCAGTGATGCCCCAAGCAGGCTGAGTGCTGAGCCTCCCCGTCCATCTGGCCAGACCAGAAGGGAGGAATGCGGAGGTGGTGACCTCAGCTTGGCTGCAATGTGGAAAGGCAAGCTGAGGTGGGGCTGGCAGGCCTCCAGAGTCACCTTGTTTACTTTTAAGCTCAAAACACTTGGAGACACTCAAGGGTGTCCACAAGGTGTTGGTTGAAAAACTTGAGAAGGTGGCCAGGGATGGCATGATTAAAGTGTGACCTGATTTTTTTTATGTATAGCCTGTGGCAAAATGCATTTTAAAAAGTGGAACTTTGATTATACTGTTGTCAAGATCTGAAACGGGACTCGCCCCAAGAAGATCCCTGAACGGGAAGCAAGAGAAGACTGGCTCTCTGGGCGGGCAGACTGCCACCCTCTTCCCCAACCTGACGCTGTCCCTGCTCTCACGGTCCCTGGCCAGTAGAGAACGTCTTCAGCTACCGCAGGGCTTTGTTCTCTTCCACTCCCAGGCCCCGTCTTCATCCAGCTTACTGGGGGTGAACAAAAGGCAATGAAAGCATCCATGGCAATGTATATTAAAAACAGAACATTCAGATTCGTAAGAGTGGTAAGATAAACACAGCGTCCTCATTTGATCAGCCCAGCAGGTGGCTTCTCAAGAGTGGGAAATATCATTTTATCACTTTGTAATTTTCCCCGAGTCTGAGCTGGGGTTTTGGGGGATGACGTCAAGGAGAGAACAGTTTGGATTTTGCCTGGACAGTAGCTTGACCATGCAAAGTGAGAGGATTCAGCTGTGGCTGATTCCAAGCAGGGCCTCTCCTGGGACAGCCCTTCCTCATCCAGGAAGTCCTTGGAGGATGATCCCAGCTTGCAACCCTCTGGGAACATCCAAACTCTGAGGGATTTAAATGCATCCTGGATTTAATATGGAAATCTCTGGCTGGTCAGTGCAGTTTGCCAATCAGGAGCCGCGTGTGGCCTTTTAGAAAGCTTTGGCACGCGCTGGAGAATTGGGGTTCCTCCCCCCAAACTAAGGAACTTTGATTTTTTCCTCAGCCTGAAATACAGATTGGTACCTGTGTGATTAGTAAGAAGAGGGCAGGCCAGCACACCTCGTATAATTCCGTTTTTTTGCCACAGCCCATGCCATCCTCTTTGAGGGCTGAATGGGGCTGATGGGAACTAAGACCCCGAGTGGTAAGAGGCTTGGTGTATGTGACCCCTGGCATCAACAGGCCATGGGGTGGCCACTCCTGAAACACCCTCTTTGGAGACCAAGGGTTCCCAAGGATGCCATCTAGTTACGCAAAGCCCCGTATGGGCAAAAGGCACATTTAGGACTCCAGCTGGAGACTCTGGAAGACCTTGCAGGGTCTGGAGCCAGGACTGAGTTAACCCTGCTTGCTGTTAGGGGGTGATATGCCCCCACTTCCACCCACAGCCAGTTTCCTTGAACTGAGTTGTGGTGAAGCCTCTGCACTGGCAGAACCTCTCACAACTGCCAGTCATTTGCAGAGGCGCTCTGGGAAATTATTGCCCGTTGCCAGCTGCATCTGTGCCCAGTTCTATCGCTCTTAGGGATCTTGGAACGTCACAAGCAAGCTGGTGACACTCAGCCACGTATGTCTCTGCCACCACTGAACCGGGTGTGGCTGTGCCTGACTGACCAAGGCTGGAAGAGAGCCAGTTGACTGAGAAGCTAATCTTGGTGTGAATGGGGCTGTTCGAATGGGCAGGTCCCAGTTCCAGGGCTAGGCATCATGTGCTGGGTGGGGTGGCCTGGCAGAACAGGCACCAGGGCAAAGCCATTTCTCTGAAAAGCTGACATTGCTAGCCAAGAACATCAGTGAGCAGCTTCAGCTGGAAAACAGAAGGCTGGTCATCCAGATTTTTAAGAAATTCTGTTCATAATCCTACATTGGAAAGTTTGAAAACTTTCATTGCCAATAGATAAGGACAATTCTCTGCTCCTTACCTCCTTGATGCTTTAAGGGCTTATCTGAATTAACTGAATTACCTGAGTTCTCTCCTTCTAGTCCCTGCGATGATTTAACTGCTTTGCTGTTTGTTTCAGGGGCTGGAAGAGGTTTCCAGTTAGTGCAGGGGACACCTGGAAAGCTCTTCCTATTTCTCAGTCAGCCAGAAGCTCCAGCAGAGACCTTTTGCATAGCTAGAAGCCTTTCCCAGCTTCTAGAATCGGCAGTCGAGGCTTCCGAGTGATACGAAAGGCCCTGATGAAGTGACTCAGGGCTGCCTCGCCCCTGAAGCCCGGCACAATAACACTAAGAGGAAGAAGGTGCGGCAGGTGCAGCTTCCCACCCAGTTTTGGCACTGGAAACCTCCTGAAACTCCCCCCCCTCCCAGGGCCTCTCCCTGCAACAGACGGAAGCCAACCCAATACCCTACCCGGGGAGGGACCGTTCATACTCCAAGGAAGGCCTGCAGGGCAACCAAGAGAGAATTGGGGAAGGGAGAATTTTATCTCCTTCCAGCCATCGCCACTCAGGTGGGTTGGTTGAAACGGTCCAATTTGCAAGTCCAACTTTAGGACAGGCCAACAGGATCCCTCCCTCCCACCCACCCCCTACTTGAAGCCTCCCCCAAGGCACAGCATCAGCTCCCCCCTCCCTGGGAAAAGGGTCCTTTTGACCAGAGATATGCCCAGCAAGCGCCAGAGGTGGGCAGATCTGAAATCAAGCAAGACGAGCAAGAGTGGAACCATCTTCCTGAGCCTTGGGTGACACCAAGTGGTGGCCTTCAGTACTGCCTTCAAACTTAGGAACCCCAGCTAAAGAGGGGCTCCTGCCCTTCCCCAGGATACATAGTCCTCGACTTATGACCAAAATTGGGACCAGAATTTCCATTGTTAAGCAAGTCACACCTGAGTTTATGGCCTTTTTTGCCAGGGCTGTCAAGCAAATCTCTAGTTCTTATCTCGCATTTCTCAGAGAGGAGCTCCGGGCGGTGGTCGTGTGGTTGTTACCCGAGTCCATCTTTACCCACCGAATTTGCTTGTCAGAAGCCGGCTGGGAAGGTGGCAAATAGTGGGGATGCTGCAAAGATCGTCCCCTTTTCAGCAACGCTGTAACAGTGGCTGAATGAATGGTTATAAGTCGAGGACTACCTGGGCTCCCAGGTAAACACCTTTGGACGATTCTCTCCTGCCATGCCAGGGTCCACTTCCTTCTTTCTGGAACGATGGCTCCAATTCTCTCCCCTTCAGACAGCTCTGGGCAGCAGGTCTGCCCCCGAGGTCATCCCAGCCCCTTTCATCCATCCTCAGGCAGAGAAAAGTTGCTAAGAACATCCTTTATTCCCTTCCCCGGGTCCCCCTCGTGTCTGAAAGAAGCACCCGGTCAGTGCTCAGCGCCCTTCAAGGTCTGCTGGGAGGCAGGACTCGCCAGACTGAGAAGCCGACCAGGTCCCATCAGGAAGCAGCCACCTGGGCCAGGGGGTCTTCGAGGTACTGCACCAAGGCTTGAGCCTGCAGAGAG